CTTTCCCCTACTTGGAGAGGGGCCAGCGCACGTGTGCTCCTCCGCTTCCCACCCCCACAGCCCCCCTTTCACTGGCACGCCAGCCATTAACCCTGCAGCTCCCGGCGCGCCTTCCGCCCCCACCTCTGACACACTTGGCGGAGGGCCATCCTGCAGCCGCCGAGAGCAGCGAGCGGGGAATGAATGGAGGGCTGATGCTTTCCCCAACCGGCACCCTCCAGATGTTTGGACTGGGGAATCTGGGAGGGGTTCTCCCGCACGTCTGGAGCAGGCTGAACCAGCCCGAAAGAGACAGGCCCGGGGTCCGTTCCTTGGCATCTGGAGGGAAGCTGTCTTTGGTAGAGGTTTAATTTTGTACAGGGTAAGAAGCAAGCGAGAGGAGGAAGGCTCCTGAGCACGTACAGAAGGTTCTCTCTTCCCACTGAAGGCCCTGGAGGAGAGCCGTGTTATGGCAGCAGAAAATCAGGAGGAGTCTGGTAGTGCTTTTTCCGACATGCACATTTTATTAAAAGGCTGCACTGGCGGGGGAATTCTGGGAGTTGAAATCCACCCGTATTAAAGCTGGCAAGTCACTGCTCCAGCCCTGATGCCCCATACTGTTTTTCTAGTTTAGACTGTAAGCATCAGGGGAGATGCCCGTCGCCACCTTCCCCGCCTTCCCACTTGCCAAATATGACACAGAGCAACTTTTCTGCCAACACGGAGACCTCCTTCTCCACTATGCCGTGAACCTGACCTAATGACCGCGCCCTTCCGTCTGCCCAAAGCTGCTACTAACGTCCCAATGGCTGAAAGAACGCTAGTCCTCATGACTCTGCCAGTGTATCTTCCTGGAGAGACTAGGCCTGGAGCCTGGGGACAGATGTTTAGGCTGTCCCAAGCTCTTCTGAAATTCCTTCACCCTCACAGTGCACCCCAGAGTGACTTCTCTGCAAAGAAGCAAAGGATCACCAACCTGGATCCCACTGGTGCTTCCAGCCCAACATTCAGCTTCTAAAACCAGCTACAGGTAGTCCTCGCTGAACGACCACAATATGGACTAGAAAATTCATCGTTAAGCGGGGCAGTTGTTAAGCGAAGCATCACGTGACCGCAGCCAATTTTATGACCTTTTTTGCCTTAGCCGCTAAGCAAATCACATGGTTCTCCATTGATTTTGCTTGCTGGAAGCTGGCTGGGAAGGTTGCAAATGGCGATCACATGACCACAGGGGCTCTGCGACGGTCGTAAGTGCGAAGATTGGTCGCAAGTAACTTTTTTCAGTGCCATCGTAACTTTGGATGGTCTCTAAACAAATGGTCATTAAGCGAGGACTACCTGTAATTGCACATTCCCAGGCAGCCCACTGAGCAATGGGTCCTCCCCGGAGGCCATCCTTGACTGTGGAAATTCCATGTGGCTGTTACAGCAAAGGAGGGTCGCTGTCACCTTGGCCAATGCATCTACCCCTTTCTGATGTTTCAGTTTAAGGGCATACAAGCAGGGAACCGCAGTTTGCATGATTAATCAAAGATAACTCAACTTTTGAATTTCCCAGGCCATTTTCCAGCAAATGTGGAAAATGTTGCAATGCTGACAGGTTGTTTCTAGCTGCTGAACGCCCTGGCTTTCTGCCTCTAGAAAGCCCAGATCTGTTCCTGAAAGATTCCACTTTCACAAGGCGGAACTTTCCGCAAAGGGAAAGTTCTTCTTCCAGACCCCAGTAAAAGGCAGAGAAGTTGGCTGCTTACTCACTTGAACCCTCCAGCGCTCCAGGCTTGACCATCTGGCTGTGGTTCGCAGCTCGATCGGCACTCCGCTGGACGGTCACCCTCCACCTGGGATTCTGCGCTTCCTTTTCGCTGCGGTGCACCGGGATGAGCATGTTGACCTGTGAAGGGGGAGGAAGAGCAAGAGGGGGAGGATGCACAGCTCAGTTTCGAAGGGAAGGAAGATGTGGGACAGAATCTACAGGCAACCGGGTCCCATTTGCCTCTTCTGGTAGAGCTCAAACTGTATTTCTTAGGCAAGCCACCCCATTATCTTGCCTTCGTCTCCCCTCCCATGACTGCAGAAAGTGGATCACCCACAAAAGCACACAGACACCTCAGCTGTAAATTATGCCTCTGAAATAAAGAAAATTGAAGCCACTAACAACAGCAGATTCTGCGTGGAAGAAATGCGAGATCAATTCAGTTCTGATGCATGAAACCAATTCAGACCGCAAGTCACTTTGGGTGAGATGGGCAGCTATACAAATATGATAATAAATAAAAAATTAAAAAATCTGGCAAGAGCCACAGTCACACTATGTGCGTCATGACACGTGTGACGCCACTTGCCCCCTCCATACCTATGATTCTAACTCAAGCGAGCATTTTTCACTCCTTGAGACACGTCGCCATGCCCATTCCGAGGACATGGGCTGGGGAATTCTGGAAGTTCTCACACTCTTGAGGGCACCAAGTGGGGGGGCTTTCTGCACCAGGCTCCAACCGGTGGGTCAATGGGGAGGGGGCAGGTGGAGGAGAGGAACAGAGCAATGAGCAGACCCCAGGAGCCTGGAACCTGCCCAACCAATCTAGGAGAGCCGTAGCCAAACCAAGCCCCGAAGGAAACGGCTGGCCCTTTCTGTCACAAGGTTTAAGCTTGCTTTGCAGAGAACAACCGGGCCCCGCCCATCACAAGGCTGCCCTTGCGAGGGGGGCAGAAGGAGGACCTTTACTCATCAGGTTCTGAGGCTCTGCCAGGCTGGCCAGCGCACCAGAATGAGCCTTAACGGGCCTTCCTTGCATCAAGAACTCCCTCCAGAAAGCAGTTGTGAGGGAAACTATGGTTGCAAGGAGCTGGAAAGAAAAAGTGGAAAGAAAAAATCCTCTCCTGTTCCCTCCCCCCCCCCCCAAAAAAAGGCTGCGTTTCTAGACTGTTTCACAAAATTACAATAACAGGGAAAAAAATGACTCAAATACAAGCCAGCCTGGGCAGCTGAGGAGGGAATATCCACAGAGTCTAAGGCAGTGTTGGGGCCAACCTCAGACCCCGCCCAATTGGAGGTGTGTGCAAACACCAAAATGTCTCACACACCAAAGCCTATTGGGGGG